TTCGGTTCTCTGCTAGAGTCTTCACCTGGTTCTAAGTCTGCCCACACGTTTTCATCTCCTCTTCATATGACCTCCTCCAAGTCACCCTCTCACTGACGACCAACTCGCCGCTTCCCTCTCGGGTTCCACTCGAGCAATGGCTTGTCTAGTGATGTCACTTGATGCTTTCCTCAGAGAATGGCCAATCCATCTCCATTTCTTCCTGCATATTTGTTTCACAATCGGTTCCTCGTTGATTCGCTCATTGCCAGAGATCTCTATTGCTGATCTTTTCTGGCCGGCCATCTGATCTTGAGTACTGAGCGAAGACAACTGTTAATGAAAGTCTGTAGTTTGTTTGAGATGCTCTTTATGACGCGCCAAGTCTCAGATCCGTATAGTAGCACTGACTTCACATTGGAGTTGAAAATCCGGATCTTATTTTTGATGCTGAGTGCTGTTGACCTCCACACAGACTTGAGAGTAGTGAAAGCTTGTCTTGCTTTTCCGATTCTTGCTTTGATATCCGCGTCAGCTCCCCCTGTAGTTGAAACGATGCTTCGCAGGTAGGTAAAAGAGGTTGTTTCTTCCATGTTCCTCCCATTTATGCTGGTCGTTGTCTGTTGTTTTTGTTCTTGTCCTGGAATCTTCATTACCTCTGTTTTCTCTATGTTCACCTAAAGTCCTATCTTTGATGCTTGTTCTGCCAACTTGTTGCTTTTCACTTGCATATCTTCCAGTTGGTGGGACATCAGACATATATCATCGGCGAAGTCCAGATCCTCAAAGTTTTTTGTGTGGGTCCATTTTATTCCTGTTTCCTCGCTGCCTGCTGTCTGTCGCATCATCCAGTCTACTGCAATCAGGAAATCAATCATTGGAGATAGTAGGCAGCCAGCTTGTCTTACTCCTGTCCTCACTTCGAAGGATTCCTTGAGTTTCCCGTTGTGGATTACTTGGCATGCAGCATTGTCGTTGGATGAGATGTATAATGGTCGGCGGCACACCGTAGTAGCGAAGTAGTTGCCAAAGCACCTCTCGATCGACGCTGTTGAAGGCCTTTTCAAGGTCGATGAAGTTGAGTGAGGTAGAGAAGTGACTGCCATTCCAAGCTCTGTTCAATGATGATCCGTAATGTGGCAATCTGATCAATGCATGACTTGTTTCTCCTGAATCCAGCCTGTTCCGGTCGAAGTTTTTCATCCAGGGCATGTTTGATTCTCTCCAGGACGATGTGGCTTAGTATTTTGCTTGGGATGGACAGGAGCATAACGCCATACCAGTTCTTGCATTGACTTAAGTCTCCTTTCTTTGGTAGTTTGAATAAGTATCCTTTCTTCCAATCCTGGGGTACTTTGCCTTCTTCCCACACTTCCTCCAGTAGTGTCGTCATGAAGTTCGCTGTTGTCTCTGGATCCATTTTCAACGCTTCTGCTGGGGTTATTATTATCCATAATTATATGAATCCAGGGCAAACATCATCTTCAGCAATTTTCAGTAAATAACGTCATAGAGAATCGCAAGGAAGCATAAGTCATTATTGTGCAGATTCAAAAATTGAATTAAATAATAAACACACTGCTTTGAAATGTTGAATAAACTCTACAATTGTCTCAGCCAATAAAAGTTTCAAAGACATCAGGTTACCTAAGATAACAGCATTGACTGCATGCTGTTGCCACCACGCATATATGATGGTATGCGGGCGTAACTGTAATAAAAAATTTTTAAAAAATGCTTTTGAAGAATTTTTCTCTCTACAGAAAACAGTATTGGAACAACTTTGAAACTAAATTAATATTTAAAAGAATAACAACATTTGATTGACTGAATAACTAACTAATGTATCTGAGCACGTTATAGAAGATGTTCAGAGGCTTAAACATAAATGTAATATCACTTAATACATATCCTTGCTTGGAGTGTTTCATCATGAGCTGACATCAGTTAGAAAACCATTGGATAACCTGAGAGTACTGGTGTTTCGTCCTAGTTTGGGACTATTCAGCAGTACGCACCCACTGGGACTGGAACCCAGGACCTCCGGGTTACAAGTCAAGCTCTCAGACCGTCAAACCGCTGGGACCCGACACAGTGACTACCCCATGAATTCCTACTGCTACCAATTTGTGATTTTCACGTGATCACTAGGCAATTTCATCCGCGGCGAGTATTCGTCTTCATTCCCTAAAATTCATGAACTAGTAGAAGTTGGAATTCATGCGTTGGTCATTGAATCAGGTCCCAGTGGTTGAATAGATTACGAGTTTGACTTATAACTGTAGGTCCTGGCTGTTCCAGTGGACGTGTGCTCCCGATGAGTCCCAAACTAGGACGAAACAGCTGTTCAGTACTCTCTGCTTGTTTTCAGTGTTTCTCTAACTGGTATCATCATTTTCTTACAATAAGTCAGTCTATTGGATGAATTAAAATTACTTCAAAAGTGAAGACACAGTTTGATAACAAATGCCAATAAGCACTAAAATCTAGGTCCCGTTTATTCCTGTCGATTGCCTCCTACCAGATGACATTAATTCAAAAGGTGTCAATCGATGGCTATTCTCCGAGAATTGTAATTACACTGTCAGTTAACTTATAGAATTCAATCAGTACCACTTACTAGGGAGTAGACAAAAGATATTGATTCATCCGCCAGTCACAGTGAGTGACCAGTCACCATCTGACATATGGTCAACAAACAATCTGTCACTTCCTCCATTACGAGGATAGACTTAGCACTGGAAGAACTGAACCAACGCCAAGTGCAGAGCTCTTATAATAAACAAAAATTGAGTGAAACTGTCAGAGAATAAAATGAAATTAAAATATGTTCAGTAAAACTGCTCAGGCCGAACTACAAACTTGAATCCTGTCAAAAATTGAAAATTCCATTCGAAGTTTAGTCATTATCAAATCAGAACAAAGCAACTGTTAGGCAGATGTGTTGCTTGAAAATCCTTAATTACTATTGGTATTTGATAGCAGACGTTTAGTTATCACATCAAGTAACTTTCTTTGTCAATGCTTTTTATCATTCCTTGCGTTCCAAGTGGAACATCGAGCATCAAACTTGAGGTCTTGAAGTGTTAGTGGTGTTTTCTATCAGGTGCAGTTGCTCACTTCCAACCTTTCCTCTTCTCTTAGGCTGCTACTGGCTGAGGAAATCGAACCCCGCTTCACCTGTGTTGTTGGTGGGCATTCTACCGTTGAACCACGGATGCAGTCGTGAATACTGTACTAAACACAAATATTTTAAAAATTAATCTACTGCTGACTACAGGATAGAGTGCCTAGAGTTCAAGTGAAAAGTCGGGACTGACGGAGCCCACCAAGTTGGGGGTGAAGACAAATACTCGTGTGATTCATGGGTATTCTAATTTCTGGACACCTCAGTATATGCACACCTACGATGATATTCTCTCAAAATTTTTATTCTTTATCAACGCCTGAAACGTTGATTTACACGAAGTATCAGTGATTATTCAATAAAATAAACTGATCCTGCCCCTAACTTGGGGTCTAAAATTCGAAAAATTGAAAATTGGTGTATTGCTCCCGAATAACTCAGGAATGCGAGATAATGATAATATGGTTTGTGATCATAGGTTGTAAGCTTTTTCAAGCTCGTTATACCTCAGCTAGGCTGCCATGCTTACTATCTATATATCTTATAGTGACTGTCGCAGAAGCTATACATAGAAGATGACTTATAGCTCGTTAATATCGATCTTGGATGATTTTCTATAGTCTTGGTAGACGCACTGAGGCTATTCACATGCTAAATTGGTTGGCATAGATAACGGTTTCATTGGATTGTACGGGTGCTTGCTTTGTCTGTTGGGGCTTGTGTCAGTATAGCCTTGCTATGCTTGTTACTCTTGCCCATAACAAATCTTTTGACTAGTCGTGTATGCGAGATGAGTTCTATGCAGTGAACAACTGACTGATACGATCATTGATCGGAGTAACAGTGCTCATCTAGATTTTAGTGTATGTATTAAAGGTACGAATGGTCCACCGAAGGAGAGACCTCTCGAGTGGTGGTGCGACAAGATGACACTGCATAGTGTTCTGGTCATGTGAGAGGTTTGAATATGTTTCTCCTATAAATCAGTCTATGGACACCCAGTCAATTGGTCTGTCATTGTTTGAATAGACTTTTTGATCCTACCAGTAGTCATATGCCTATCTTATAGATTAACCCATGCACGTCCGAGTACATACTATGAAACAGTGAAACCGTGAATGGTTCATTAAATCAGCTACGGTTCCCTAGAGATCGTATACATTACATGGATAACTAGTACTTCTAGAGGTAATAAACGCAATAATGATATGATTATGAGCAATAAATTGCGCTTGAAACTTCATCAGCAAATATTACTGTATAACATTGTGAGACTCTATCAAAATAAATTTTACTTATAATGGAATTATGCTCTACCACAGTGCACAAGTTCTATTCTTATATCAAACGCAATTATGCCCTGACCCTCAAGAGGACGGGTTCTTTTATTTGAATTTTGTGATGACTCTAGATAAATTTAAATATCTCACTCGGCCTTGTGTCAGCGGTGGATCTTTCAAATTTCCACCCTATTAGTCTGCTAGTAGGTGGTCTGTCAGCCATGATAATAACGGGTGAATTTGTAACCTCATTGTCTTGGGTTTAATCCCCAGTGTGTTTGCAGTTGTTCATCTTCAATTAGGACGAAATAACTTTTTAGTACTGTCTGGTTTTCATCGGTTCTCAGAACAATCTTGATGAACTTGTAACAAAAGCTACACTGAAGAACTTGATCAAATCTCTGCGTGTGTGTATGTATGTGCGTAAATTCAAAATCTGCATACCATGTTTCAGAATTGCATATATACCTAGCTAATGAGTACCATAAAGCATGAAACCGAGGGCCAGGGTTTCCTGTTGATTGCTTTCAACTATCTAACAAAAATTCAGTTTTTTTTTGAGTTTTCACCTTAATTAGCTTTATCTGTTCAATTTTTTTCGTATTTCTTCATAGACATCAAACATTTATCATCAGTTATGCACGTCTATTGGCCGATCAGTTGTCTATTGAAGTGCCACGATCAATATTCCCCTTCTTCTCCACGTCTTCTACTTCGTCAACCTCTTCATGTTCACAGAATGAATCCTTTACAATGACCAGCTATCTTGAAGAACAACTAGCCAGTCATGCTCCACCAGTATTCACTCCATCACAGAAACACATTGTCATCGATGAAAATGAAACAAAACCTTCAACAACCACGACCACAGCAACATCTGCTGTCAATAATTCTATAATGTCAACAAGAAAAATTGTCTTCAATAATCCTTGTTTCACTGATTCAGAGATGAAACCAGAAATTTATTTGAATGAAATGTTCCTGAGGATGTGTTCAGATCTTCTAGAGGCTTTAAGTCAATCAGATAAATGTAAAGGTATGTTTTTTCGTTTGTTTGTGTGTGTGTGTGTACCTCCCATTTCTTCTTTTTCGTTTAGTGTATCTCACAAATGTCGAAGTTAATTCATGTACCTAAGAGTCTTTAAAATGTCATCGAATTAGCTAGCTAGAAGCTTTTGATTGATACTTATTGAGTAAGAGAAACACTGAAAACAATCAGGGAGTACTGGACAACCGTTTCGTTCTAGTCTGGCACTCTTCGGGAGTAGGCACCCACTGGGGTTCAAACCCAGGACCTTCATGTTACAAGGCGAGCTCGTAGATCATTCAGCCACTGGGACCCGACTCAATGACCGACGCATGAATTCTAACTTCTACAAATTCGTGATTTCAGTGCGACCGGTAGTGGCCAGTGTCATCGGCTGTGATTATTTGTCCTCACTGGTGACTGTATGGACCCCACTGATCACAACTTCATCCTGTAGCCACTTAACAGTGAGCATCAGATTCGTTTTTAGGGATTTGACTCATTTGATACTTATTCATCCATTTTCAAGGATTACTTAAAAGTAAAAAAGCCTACTGGTAACAAATGTGTCTATAAATATGGAGGATAAATGATAACCGTCATCATCCCAGTGGAACATAGGGCTTCAGCCGTGCATCTCCATCGCATTGAGTTCTCTGCAATGCCTTTCAGCTAGCTAGCTGCACAAATGCCTACAAGTTTCCGTTTCCTCTTCCATATCACCCTCGCATGCCTAACCCGTCGCTTCCCAATCATGTTCCACTTGAGGATCTAGAGTGTAGTGTTCCTTGAAGTTCTCCTCAGTCCACATCCCATCCATCTCCATTTCCTTCTTCATTTGTTTCTTGGGGGAAACACAATTATGCAGTCTCCCTTGATTTTTAATAATTCTTACAATCAATGTTGGTTGGATTGTCGCGAGAAAATAAACTTCTGAATTATTTGAAAATTTTCACATGAAAAAGTCTCAGTTTTAACTAAGATGTCTGAGTGATCGATCAAAGGAAAGAATAGAGGTGGGTCAGATTAATTTTTAAGGGCATTGAATTAGTGTGTATCTTGTTAATCTGTAAACTGACGAACATGACCTGATATGCATAGGATTTTTTTAGCCCTATAATCTGAACAAATATATGCATTCAACATTAAACATTTGCCTGCTATGTGTTCTTCTAATTATTGATTTGGCTTCACCCTCCCCCTTCACTACAATTTCACTGTGTTCTTCTTTTGTACGCAAAATGACAACAGACAAATAAACACATGAAAATAGGATAACAGATTAGCGATAGAAAGACAAGAAAAGCAAAAACTTAGACCAACATATGTATTGGCGACACAGAAAAAACTTACCGTTATCATGTATCATTTCTTTTTGAAAACAAACAAAAAAATATGCCTTCTGTTGGCCTATACCAGTTTTACATTGTACTGTACTGAAACCTGTACACGCCTTGTTGTCTACACCTAAATAAATAACTAGCCGCCAACCACTGTAACCGTAGAAGACCAGAGACTTGGTAAAGGAATGTTTATTTGGAATTTGGTATCGTTGTGTAGCGAAATTATGTGCATCTTATCTTCAAATCAACATTTGCACAGATCTTCCGTGTTATGCTACTTCTGATCTTCTTTTGTATTGTGTTTCTTTGTGTTCCTTTCACTTCTCCCATGTTTCTTCGCAACGCTGAATCGTTTGCTTTCTTTGACATCAAATCTATCTCCTTGCTATTTGATATTTTTATGCCGATGAACGTCTCCGTATATACTAGTGATAAATCTTATCAGTAACACATGCCACACAACCAAAAAACCCCACACCCTGCCACTCTTCTGCTTCATTTGTACATTCTATCATATTTACTGGCTAATTATTATATATATATGCAAATATGCATAAATAACATTTTGAAACTTCTACTTCTATCTGACCTGAAAACAGGTCAGTAGTCTTTTAGTAAAATGAATAACTGAAAATCGATTTGCCTTACGAACTGGTGAAGAGACGTTACCAAAGTTATGCTGTTGGTTTGAAAAATCTGTTTCTCTAACCAAACAACCACCCACCCACTCGCACGCATGCACGCACGCACACATACACGTGCAAGCAAATAATCAATCAATTCTGCGAGATAGGTCATATAGGCGTGAAATACCCTATTCTAGCTTATTGCCTTCTTTCTCTCATAGTCAATAGCTTCAGACTACGTATTCAAAACTCGTGGCAATTTTACATTGATGAGTGTAAATAAACCATTCTTAAGTGATGATGTAATAAATTACGATGATAGAATTCAGTTTGCTCCAAACAAAAGACTAGATGCATGACACTAGTTGCTTACCTACTGTCCAATCAAAGTATCCATTACACTCCTACAGGATGTCAATCGCGAGCTCGAATAGCTCAATGATAACGTCTCCAACAGGAGCATTGGTTGACATGAGTTCGAATCTCAGCAGGGAACATGAATTCCTTCAACATTGTGTGGACACAACTTCCTGGCTGGTGAGTCCTTCACCAACAAGCACGAAACCTAGGTCAGGTAAGGCTTCCTACCGATTGCTTCCAACCTTCTAATAACACAGTGGAGCATTGAGAATCAGGCAGAATTACTGGATAGTAGTAAAGTGTTTGAGACTACTCTTCAGCAATGTGTATTCACATATATATATATGTATATGTATATATATATGTATATATATATATATATATATATGAGCTGAGTGAAAACCGTGTAGACAGCTGATGAGATCGATTCTCAAAACAAGCGAGAATGGCCGTCTGGTGTTTAACATCACTTCGATCCGTTTAATATGATGAGTTGGTTCCCAGTCCCTCGTAGTCTGAACCATCGTGTTCGGATACTTGCTTTCTTTTGACTCGTCTGTTATTTATCATGTCAAAGCAGATCATGTGAATATTTATGATGACATAGAATAATTTCAGTTTCTTTTATATGAAACTGTTGTTAGTGTGGATTTCTCACGCTGAAGTGAATTGGTTAAGGATTTAGAAACTCCTGTAAAGTTTGATGGTCAGCTTACACTACTGAAAGCTTTCTTTTACCGTTTGTAGAATCGTTTAGTGGGAATATTATTCTTAAGGAAGCAGTATTTTGTTTTTCCTAAAATCAATGAATAGTTTCTTTTCGCCTCCTTGCTTCCTTCTGTTGTTATGAGACAATGTAAAATGTATGCAGAGTGTAGTTGTATGCTTACATGGAAGTCATTTTCAATCGTGTATGTACAAATATTTTAACAAGAAAGATATCATAACACAGGTGTACAAATAGATACATGTTCGTTTGCGTGTGTGTGTGTGTGTGTAACTGAGTGAGCGATAATATACACGTTGGTGAATAGTGACTGTATAAACGGCCATATACTAGCACCCACACACACGCACACACCAGTAGTTATTTCACCATCTGCAATATGTGCACTTGTAAAAATGACCTGAAAGAATGTTGTCTAATATCTATTCTCCCTGTCATAATCATGATAATAATAGGGCAATTCTATGTATAAGTTTTGATAACTGTGACAATACGGAGAAAAATTTTTCCCCTGTTTGTTTGTTTGTTTGGAGGTTTGTCATTTACTTTTGCATATACATGTACGTGAATTGGGACATAATAAGTAATGACCACCTGTCTGTTTTCATCCTAAAAACATTTAAAAAACTTTCTTTTCTCATTTGTGAAAAGATGAAGTTATGCACATGTATATATCATCTCAGGGATATTTGATCTCGGGGATATTGATCGATTTCGCTGAAAACACTACTTGTGGACTGATGCTGGAGTTGGGTGATCTTCAACTCCTTGGACACCTCAGCTATTTTACATACTGGACACTTAGTTTTGAGTAATCGCGCTTCATGATGATGCTCAGAATATCGAATTCACATGATGTTGTTTAGTGACTTGATTCTAGCGTGTTGTTTATTCTCCTTGTTATTTGTCGAGACGTGTAATTCATCACTCTCAGATAGATTGTCGCTTTGGTGGTTTAACAATAGGATTCTCGCCAACCATGCCTCTGGTAAACGGTCGATTCCCGGTTGACACATTCCTAAACCTGGCTAAGCCGGTTCAGAGGGGAGGTTGAACATGGGGCTAACTGCTCTGCTCCATAAGAAGACAACTGTTCATGAAACTTCAAAACTCAAGCTTGAAGCCCTACGATCCACTCGGAACGCAAAGGAATGGGAAATACTATTTGTATTGATAATGACTTTTTTGCGTGTCTTGTTTTTCGTACATTAGAATCATACACCAATGTCTGTTTCAACTGCATATTTATCTTTGATTAGAAAACAAAATGTGATTCACCTGAAACTTATTTTTTCTTTTCATCCATCCCCTGAGTATCTATCATTTGGAGATACATTCCGTAGGCTTTCAGATTTTGAACCCCGAGTTCGAATCCCACTCCACCTAGTTCAGTCTGAACAATAAAATAACACAACTAGTTCACTTTGTACTGATTCGTATTCAACACAATTCCAACAGTGGTGTGAACACGGGCAGTAATTTTGCTCGAAATATTACCAATAACAAAACTTATCATTGTGTGTAAACTATTGAAATATAATTATACTTTATTTCAACACTATAAGTCTGGTTGTTATTGTTGAATGTATAATTCAAAGTGATGCATTGCAGTAATTCGTATGGCACTGATATGAATCGTGCTTCAACCCTAATTTTTATTAAACTTTCAAATACCACCATCTCATGGGACTGAGATATTTCCATATCCTTTGATGAAACTTTTTATGCACCAACAAAGTGGGGGGCTTCGGTAGATGCAAAACTAGAGGATATCGATATCATAGGTATTTGTAGGTGATAAGTCAGTTAGTCAGTTGCTGACGAAAACATTCCCCTGGGATTATTAACCCTTCGTAAATCCTATTACTTGTTTGCGCGGAGTAAGATGGCGTTAGTGCTTGCTTTGTACAATTCTTGCCAACCATGCACATATAGTCCGGTTCAGATTCCCTG